TTTTATTATAATACTAATAATGAAGGGTATCAAATTAAATTAATGATACTTATGTATACTTAAAAATTAAATGTAATTGCAGTGGGTATTAAATATAATTACAGTAGGTATTAAATATAATTACATTAGGGTATTAAATGTAATTGTTAATACTTATAACAAAAAAAAAAGCAAAAAACTTGCACAGCAGTGAGGTATTAAATATAATTACAGTATGTATTAAATATAATTATAATGGGTATTAAATATAATTATAGTAGGGTATTAAGTGTAATTATTTATTCTTATAACAAAAAAATTATAAAAGACAGAAGAGCAGTGGGAATTAAATGTAATTATAGTGGGATATTAAATATAATTATAGTGAGTATTAAATGTAATTACAGTGGGTATTAAATGTAATTATAATGGGGTATTAAATGTAATTATTCATAATGAACCGAATATATCACTGTTTTGTCGAAACGGTTCGAAACAATGCCGTTTCGACCGAAACGGTCCGAAACAGTACCGTTTCGACCGAAACACTGGAATTTTGTGATTCAACTACTGTTTCGTTTCGGAGTGTTGAAATTCCGAAACGTTTCGGACGTGTCGACACGACATTTTGATCCTTGCATGTAGCTTGATTCTCGAGATAGGAAACTTCTTCCATGTTAATGAATGTATAAACTAGACTGGCAATGTAACACAAACTTGGTTACACATCAGACCTCACTCTATTAAATCTCCCCTATCTTTTTCGATAACTCTCCGTAATATTAATATTTACCTTTAATTCTCTTGTTCAAGATTATTTTCCATCCAAATAATGGTGAAAATTTTACAAGGAACAAGAGAAGTCTAACTGGACCAAGGTGGTTCTCATGTTTGCAAAGAAGCACAGATACGAACATGGAAACAAGTAGTTCCTCTTAAAACATATCAGAGACACGTTGACTAATACATATGCATATATATACTAATGTTAGTGTGTGTGTGTGTGACACCATTAAAGAAATTGAGTAATAAAAAACACGCTATTGGTAATGATTTTATTACCAAATAAACATGACAACTAACAATGGCAAACAAGTGCTTACCTTTTTGCATTTTATCTAAGTGATTGGTTATAAGTGACATGACCTTATATTTTGGTAAATATGCGATACACAGGAACAAAACAAATGACAATAAGTAGTCAATTCCTTACACAAGACAAAAGTTTCATTCAGTGTTTTGAAAAGTATGCATCACACAAGGCGAGGAGAGATGCACCAAAAGTGCCTCAATGAGGCTTAGGCAAGGTGAATGCATCAAAGCGTAGTCAAGGCACATTTGGCATGGGATTTTTTTCCCATATGTTTTGTATATTGGACTACTGTTTATTTACTTTGAAATTTTTGATGTGCACAACACTAGAGTGGAGCTTTCGACATCTATTTGTATATATATAAAATAATTATTTTTTGGGGGAGAGGTAAAGATCAAAATTGAATTTCGGTGCATAGTTTCGCTTAGCTCAAAAATAGATAAGTTTCAAGAACATTTTGAAAATGTAATGGAAACAAAAAAAAGTTAATAACATGTGGAAACAAATGGAAATAATTATTAAAATCTATTTATTTATATAGATTAAATTAAGGATTGATTAATTGAGCATGCTTATTGTTTTAGCATCTGTTTATACTAGATAACATCTAGCTGGAGAAGAAATAAAGGTTAATGAGAGGTGGAAGTCATTTTAATGAATGTCAAACATTTCATTTCATCAAACACTTACAAGATACTAAGGTCTCATAATATGATATTAATGTATTCGTAGTACAAAACTGCATCTATTCTACTCTAGAAATAATTCGGAAACATGATAAAAATAGAAAAAAAATTGAAAATATATTTGCGAAATATTTTGAAAGATTGGTTGAAACGTATTGAAAAACTCGAAACATATCAAAACACCTCAAAATATAGGAATTTCAATATTCAATCACTAATTCGTTTCGGTTTCTATGGAAATAAAAATGCTTCGATTGCTTCGAAGCCAAATATAGTTTCTTGGGAAGAGAGTTTGAGAAACCTTCACTTATACTAAATTTTCTCAATTTTGATTTATTTAATAGAAATTTGTTGGTCTTTTCAATTAAATTTTTACATGTGGCATATGTAACTACTCCCATTTTCTTTGCTAACTGTTACTCACATTTGTTTTTTTAAAAAAAAATCAATTTGAAAAGAATGTCTAAAGTTTCAATAAGGTGGAGTCGGGAATGGGTGGTGTTGGGGAGATATTGCAAGTTTCGTGAATCATTTGGGCATCGTTTGTAAATTTCTAATTCAAACTTTGGTTTTCTATCCTCTACATCTTTGATTTTTTGATTTGTTATTGTTACCAATTAGTTTTGTATTGCTTAGTTGAACTATATCTTTGAAATTAATTGCTTAATCAATAGAATTTATTTGATTGAAATTTGATCGTTGAGTTGTTAACTTGCTTGATTGCCAATGATTGTAATTGTTTAATTTTGAAATTCTCTAGTTGATCCAACACGAACACATATTAGACTGAAAGTAATTAAAAAGATGAGAGATGGAAATCGGATGCTTTTTAATTTATGGAACGTTTATGCTATGTTTTTTTTTTAAATGTGTTTTCATATCCTTAGCCTTACTTTGGTTGGATTTGTAATTCTATGTCTTGACTCTTTGCCTATGTGGAAAAAGTTGTCAATTTTAAAATATTTGTTTACATTGCGCCGTATCACGAGCCTCACACTTCGGTTGTAGGAAACCTTAGTGCCTTGGTGCACTTAGTGCTTGGTGCCATTAGTGATCACCAAAAAGCAAAACAATGACAAAATTCTCTCTCTCTCTCTCTCACACTTGCTCACTCGCTTAGACACAGGCGAGTCCAACTCTTTTTTCTTCTTGTTCTCTAGTTTCTGTTTGTATTCTGTGAGCCTTGTGCTTGCATCTCTCTCTCTCACTCTGTCTTTACTTCTTAGTCTTCTTTAGCTCATTGGAGCTCTAATAGAGACCAAATGCAGCTCAAAGCCGTCGGACATGTGAATTTTTTTTAAAAAAACAACAAATTTGGACACTCATTTTGGCATGCTTGACATGTGTCCAAGACGTATCCGTACGTGTTGGTATGCTAGACAGCTTTAACCGTGATATGTGGGCCAAAATCAAGTGTTTGTGCTTCATAGCATGTCAGTATTATAGACAAGCTATATAAAATAGGCTCAAGATGAAGTTGTTGGGTTATCCCTATTCCTCCCCACCCCTTTCTTCCCTTGACCCCCCCCCCCCCCCACAAAAGTTATTCTTATCTATTAAGTTCTTATGTTACATAAAGGCACCTGTACAAACTATATGGTTTGTCACTTCTCTCTTTATTGGTTTCCGTAATATTATCAACCCCAAATTTGGATTTATGTGGATGATGAAGTGGATGAAAGCTTTTGTATAAACACCCATCCTCCTCGAGAAACATATTTTGTGGAATAATTGTTGTTCAATTGAGGATAAGTGGTAAGATGAGAACAGATGTAAGCACCTATAAATTTGTATGAAAGTCGTTAGATGTAGCAGAATGAGAAATCATGGAGGGAATTGGTGATGCTATGGCTTTTACTAGGTAGGATAAGACAGTTTCTTTCAAATATTATTTCAGATACTGGGCCTTGTGGCAATGAAGTGGTCATGTTGGTCTGATGAAAGTGTTATTGAATTTTTAAGTCCTTAGTTTTTTTATCATATTTGTTCAAATGTATAGATTCATAGTTATTGATGTAAAAATAAAATATATTTTGGTTGCTGCAGAATTGAGTAGAACATCGCCATTGGACACTATTTGCCGCTATTAAATGAGTTTTCTTTCTCTGCTATGACGAGTTAAATTTCATGCTATAGTGTCAGTATCGTAGTAGTTTATTTGTTTGTGGAGGTTTCTTTCACTTAGGTTGTTAAAGAATTGGTGTGGCTTTGGACCAAGGATTGGGATTAGTTGTTATGAAGAGCTGTTTAACAAAACATTTTGATGTCAATTAGTACTACTGAGTATGCAAAAAAAAAAAAGTACCACTGAGAAGCTTCATGCTGGCGTTGTTTGCATGGAGATGTGCTTGCCAAATGCTAGCATAAACAAGCCTGGCAGACCTAACCAGTGATGAGAATTACCAAATGGGCTGTTCTGGAAATGGCATTCCAATTATTTGTGGTGCTAAAATCCTTATTAGGTGAAAATCAGCTGAAGTTTTGTATCACATCAAATCTGATGTCATTTTCTGTTTGAACAAGTAGTTCACTGGAGCTTGCTACTAGGCCAATACCAGCTACAGTTTTGAATGACACTGCTGCCTCTCTTTCATATGTATTGTGTGCTTGAGTCAAATTTCTGTAACTATAATACCAGCCTGTAGTTTTCCTTTCTTTTGGTTGCTTTCTTTGAAGTTTTTCTTATTTGGAATTTTTAGTTTGCTTCAATAATTTTTTATACTAATGCTCTAGACAGAATACATTCTCTCTTGTTGGCGATCATATATTGTTTACATTACAGCTAATCTCATCATAACTGGTTTGCGTAACTCGCTTGAACCAATCCAACCACTGGACTGGATTAGTCAGGCGGGTTGTGGAGCATTGTTTCTCCACAATAGTTGGCCCCTTGACATAGTGCATCGGTGCATCCCATACACTTTTGTTTAGTAAGATATCCTTTTTTTTTTTAGGTATCCCAAAAGCATTAATGCCTGGTAATGAGTCAATGTGATGCTTTGAGGCTCTGGGAATTTGATTAAGTGTGCTTCTACACTGGAATTTAGATGCTGGCTTTGTGAAGTTTTTGGGTCGTTACCATTTGTCTTATGGTCCTTTTTTTCAATATTGTTGTTTTTGCTTTGGTTTTTTTTTTCCTGTTCTGTGATATATTATTAGGTTCTGTGGAAAAATGGTACAAGGGGTTGTGTAGATGTCATATCCAAATTAAGTCGATCATTTTATATTTTACAACGTATTAGAGACCAAGGTTGTGCTGTCTTGTCTGGTTTTAAAAGGTGAGTTGTCTTCTCCGTGGATTATTATTCCGAATATTGATATCTTATGAGATTGCTGTAGTTGTTTTTGGTATGCAGTTCATCTTCTATTTCAACAAAGTAATTTACCATCTAAAGGTGGCAGTGATTTGTCATTCATGTGCAAAAGAGACGGGAAAAAGATTGTTTTTGTTCTTTGTACATCTTGATCCTACTCTGAAGGAACAAGATTTACTGATGTGTTATTGCAAATTTAGGAAATTAGGATATCTTAGTCATGGATTCTCCCATTGGCATCATTCTGCATTTGGGATATCCCATTGGTATCATTCTATAATTAAACTGGATTTGAGGTTTTGAAGCTGTGAATGCATAATTTAAAATGGTGTTGCTAGCCTCCTACCAATGAAATTGTTGCTCCAAATAAATTGGATGCCATTGTGTATTGATAATAAAATTGGAAGTTGCTAGATGTATGGATATATTTGTGCGGGTGTATTTCCTCGGGCTGTGCAGATGCGCATTATGACAAACTCGCCTACATGTGAATAGTAGTCTATATTTCTGATGCAACCAATTGCAGAGCTAGTTTTGTATTGTGACTTACTTTTTTGTGCATCTTGTTTTTGTAGAATGAACATGACAAAATACGAGAACTATCCCAGCAGCTAGCTATTTGGAAAAAGCGAGCAGCAACCTATAAAAGGCACTTGGAAATGATTTTTGAGCACATTGAGGAGCATGATCAGTCTCTATCAAAGAAGATTGAAAACATTGTAAACAATGTAAGGGAGATGGAGTCCAAAGAGCAGCATAAATCATAGATAAATATAACATTCTTCAGGCTTGAATTTCTTTCAATGGAAAACAGAATCAAGAAGCAATGTGCAAAATTCTGTTGGATGTGGGAAAGCATTGTAATGACCAGAGAGTTAATTTACTACATTGGTTGTTTGGTCAAAAAGAATCAAGAAATGGTATGCAGAATGCTGTTGGATGGGGAAAGCATTATGGGGACAGTGGAGTTTACAAACATTATTTGAACTGTTCCCACAGAATAGTATGGGATGTTCATTTCAATGAGCGTTTCTTTTTTTTTTTTTTCATAGCCCGTTGTAAAATTCTGCGATTTGTATGTAGGATATAGTTGTTTATTTCGTCCAGCACATCATTGCACTCAGTACATCGACTTTTGGTTTTCTTCGTTTGTGTTGGGGGGGGGGGGGGGTGGCTTTTCATGAAAGCGTATCGTTTCATAAAAAGTTATATATTACTAGGTACGACCTGGGTCGAGTCTCACTGGATGCATGGTGGTGCCCTTCCCCGTGCTTCATTTGCACAGATCTCCTTTACTGTTATCGGGGCCATGTATGCTACCGCATTGTATTTTCCCTCCTAACTTGGTTTGAACTGTACTCCCGTGAGCCATTGTTAGCAGTGTTTTAGGTTTGGGTAAATCTCATAAAATGCCCTCTAAAATTACGTCCTGAACTTTTAATTGGTCTACTCCGGCTCCGTAATACCTTCCGTTTAGATTAACCGAATATTAAATAATTTAAGGGGCAAACTGTGACAATTAAAATTTTATAGGGCAATTTAAAACAACGGTCATAGTTCAAGAATCATTATGAGATTTACCTTTTTAAGTTTTAGCAACTTGAAATTTCACCGACCATGTTGCCACAGTGAGTCTTGTTGAGAGTATTTGTATTATATTGGTCCAATTTTATATAGTTGAAATAAGTATACCTCCTTAAGGGTATACTAGTCTTTTAAGTTTTTTAAAGTCAAAGTTTTGACTATACAAGTTGAGAGTGAAAAAATGTCTTCTCATAATCAATGTCTTAGGTTTGGGCAAAACTCTTCGCAATAAGTTGAGCTTGAGGCATTCAACATAACCATCAAAACTAAATTTGATTGTATTCACCCACTGACAATCACTGTCTTTTTACCAGCATTTAAAGTAACAAGATTTCAAGTCTCGTTATGATGTAAGACATCTATCTTGTAACGCCTCAAAATTCACCTTCGACGGCATTACTAATTAAACCATTCACATCATGAGAGCAATTAAAAAAATTCATAAAAAAGTAAATTTCATTCATCATATATAACATCTACAACATCACTCAAAGAATATGTCAAACCATGACTCTACATCCAAAAAGAGTGTCACACTATGGTAATTACAAACTCAAATCAAACTTAAAACAGCGGAATAAACAAAATAACTTCTATCCATTTTTATCAAATGCATCTCCTAGTGTAGGACATGGAGAGATCAATTCTAGACTTCCCCCTCGGGATCTACGCTTCCATCCAATGGCGCTTCCCAAGCTATCTGTTCATCACCTCCGAGTTTTCTCCTCCTACCGACATCTGAGAATAATATTGTTTGTAGGGATGAGCACTAAGCTCTGTAGCACATTCTCCAACCTCGAATAAGCTTTAGAAAACATGTAAAACAAGGCGGTCTCATT